AACCAATTTTTATCTGTCTAGCTACAAAAGCTAAAAAGTATCCATAAGAACGGAAAACTGAATTAACAGGTGCATTGAAAAGAACATTTCCCGCCGCTAGACTCATTCCACTTTACAAAACAGTATGCTCGTTAACCCAGTCAAAAGTAGATTAGCATCCTGCTCCTCATGTCAACTTCAACTACATTTCCCAATTCACCTGCACTTGTGGCAGAAAATACATAGGAAGGACTGACAGAATAGTGTCTACTAGATTCTTTGAGCATATTCCTAAGTCTCCTTTCAAAAGGCAGCAAAGTATTCGCAAGCGCAGTTGCCAGACTCCCAATTGATAAGGTGGAAATTAGTCAGGGCTTCAAAGTAATCAAACAGTATACAAAGAAAAGCATGGTTACTTTGACTGGCAGAAGCCATTGTCATCAAAAAACGTCAACCAAACCAATGCATACAGAAAGAGAGTGTGATTAATCTCTCATTACCCTACCTGATAACCATAATTCTTTTGTCCCGTTGCATAACATTCCAATCAATCTGCGTTTTGATTTTCACTCGCTGACTGAGTTGAACTCACTACTATTTAGGTGCCAAATCTACTTAATTAAATTATTTTATCTATTTTATAATTTTACTTCAGTATTCACCCCACCACCACTCGCCTGAACCCTCCACCATAATATGTATTAGTTAACTCTCTTGTTCTATCTTGCATTTTTTCTCTAGTCCATCCTTGTTTCCAAGAGAAATTTGAACTCTACCCCACCATGCTCATTGTCTAATTACTATATAGATAGTTACTCTCTTTCAACACACTAAATAATTGTCTACTTACATCATCTCTGAAATTATGTCCCTTATACTCTCTACCTATAACTTAAAATTATTGTAAAAAGTATGTTCAGACGTCATTTTGTGAAATATTATTGATTTTGTGGATTAGGATGTGCGCAGCTGAAGGGAATCCAATAAATAATAAAACGAGCTCATAATATCCTGCAAATATGTTTGTTCTTTATTCAAAGAATTCAATTTAATTATATTACCAAATTTACTTAATTGATTTTATTTAAGTTTCTACCTAATTGACACTTTTTACATTATGTAATTTACCTGAAAAAATATGTACAGTGCTAATGACATACATATCTTTGGAAATATTCTTTTTTTTTGCAAAGATACTTTACTAATATATATACACATATGCGCGATTGTATAGCTTGAGAATGGTGTCGTTGAAAAGAGGAATAACTCTTCACTGAACATCTTTTCTTTTATATACATACGAAAAAGTTTATTTTAAGGCTTCAGTACGAAGTAAAACACTGAAAACCAAGGGAGCAGAGACAAGCGCATCTACATGATGGTCAGTAGTCTCAAATGAAATATTGACTTTTTACAAGACGGATAACCCTACAACTCTGTCTGGATTCAACATAGAACTTGGCACCGAAGTGCAGCAGTTCGAGTTACCACGTTCCAAAATAGCACACAAAGGGAGACAAGAAGATGAGTGAAGAGAATCAATAGAGTTTTGACAAGTATAAGAGTGAAACAGAATGAGTAATGGTAGAAAGGAATATGAAAGATTACAGAGACTGAATACATCTGCGTAAGCCATTGACAACGATTTTGAGCCATATCACCTATTGTCTCCAGCCATTGATTCTTAGAGTCCCGAGGGCGGTCCCCAACCCGGAAGTCTGCATCTCCCTACCTGACTCAGTTTAACTATCAAAGGATTTCATGGATTGATGAGGCCATGTTTTTGTTTGGCCACCACTTACTCTTTTCCAACTCGCACCTATATCAGCTAGTAATGCCCGTCGGGGGAGGCGATGGTTAGGCATGCGCAGCACGTGACCTAGCCATCTCAATCCATGTAACTTTATAGCCTTGTCGATTGATTTTCCCTCCTTGCCCAACACTCTACGCCTAAAGTCAACATTACTTACCTTATTATACCACCTTATGTGAGAAAGAGATCGTAGACATCTATGATCAAAAACAGTCAACCTTTTCATGTCTTCAAATCGTATTGGCCATGTTTCAGAGCCATAGAGAAGGACGGAGCGAACTGCTGAGCAGTACACACGTCTCTTGGTTGATAGCCAACAACAATTGAACATAATTAAACAATGTTAGGTTATCATAAGGTTTCCATAATATTCTTCTTACTGATATGAATTCATCATATAGGGTATTATTATTATTACTATTATCTTAACCAAACTGTTAATATTCACAACATACATAAAAAGGTTGTGCGTCAGCGGCACAGCGGTAGAATGCTCGCCAACCACGCCACATGTGGTCCGGGGTTCGATCTCCGGCCACTGACGCACTCCTTTACCTCGCTAAGCCAGTAGTAAAACTGGTAAAGAGGGAAGGTTAGGCATGAGGCTAGCAAACCCACCCTGTAAAAATAATCACCGCTGCTACAGAAACCTCAAGCCTCTATCTTGAAGCCCTATGTGCCATTGGGAACGTGAGGGAATAAAAAAGGAGGGGATATAATTGCCAATTTAAATAAGTTTATTTGATATAATTCAAGGGAAATTCCCATTGGGACGTATAGAAAATCAAAAGAAGTGATTCAGTGAAGAGACTCTTTTTAACGAATTTATTATTAAGTTGTACAATCGTATGCATATATACATATATATATATACGCTTAACATATAACGAATGTGAGATCGATTGCATAGGTAAAACTAGAAGATTATAGTCAATAAAGATTATCGGAATACAGGAATTTAACTAGACTTAGAACGATTGATCCTGTTAAGTTAAATAACCTAGAAAAAAAAAGCAGCCATTGCCGTGCATTCACTTCCATGTAATAACATACCAGGGGTTAGGGTAGAAATATTAAAAAGTAATATAGGTGCATAGAGAGAAGCGAGGCTATACTGACGGGAATGACGCCACGCCTATACTAGACATATATGTGGAAGGTTGCAATTAACAACAAGGTGTAGAGAGAGAAAAAAATGTATAAAACTATATAGCCAGAACGAGGTGATCTAAACACCGGTCAGTCGTTTCGCTCATTTGAGGTCGAGCTCATCGTCAGTGCAGTGTACGCGGTTTGAATCATCAGCTCAGATCTGGTTGATCTGAGTAGCTCGCAACTACTCATCCCAACCGATCAGTAGTACATAGTTTCATGCAAATTTGCACAGAGGTTAGGACGCTCGCCGACCATACACATGGTCCAGGGCTAGATCCCCGGCCACTGACGCACTCCTTTACCTCGCTAAGCCAGTAACTACTAAAGAAAAAGCTGGCAAAGAGGAAATGTTAAGCATGAAGCTAGCAACCCCACCTCGTAAAAAAATAAACACTGCCGCAGAAACTCCAAGCTCCACTGGGAACGTGAAGGAATAATAAAAAACTTGCTGACCATTTATGACACCAAGCAAATCACATATTGTGTGGTGATCTGAATAACTTGGTTTCCAAAGGAAACTACTACTATGGTGGAATTACACCAACTCAAGCGCTGTGTAAATTGCAAATTACTAAGCAATTTGCGAATTGTGAATTTGATTCATGTTATTAAGTTTTGTGAATAAATTATTGATATGAGATTATAAGCAATATATATTATATTGTGCTCAAAATACCATCATCCAGTTATTAACACTGTATCAAATAAAATTATAAAATATGGAGTAATAATAGCTTAACTGGTTGCATTTCTACTTCTCTAACAGAATGCAGTACACCGTATACAAAGGTAAATCCTCCTCTGCTGCGCTCACTGAAGCTGGTTTCCCCCAAGGTGCTGTACTCTCCCCACTTCTCTTTTCTTTTTTTCTACATGACTTACCATCTTCAAATGACATCAATTTTGTCAAATATGCTGACGACCTGACAGTATCTTTGCCTGTCAAATGTCAAAGTGACTGCTCTAAGCTAAATGGCTTTCTGTCAGAAATCAGCCAGTGGTCCAAGGAAAACGGTCTTATCTTAAACCCCTCCAAATGCCAAACAGTCAATTTCAACAAACTGGTTGGCTCTCACGAGGTGTGCAACATAGATGGCACTGAAATAGAAACCAAGTGGGAAATCAAATACCTAGGCGTCATTCTATCTGCTGATCTTTCCTGGTCGTCTCATATCTTGACGATTTCTAAGAAAATATTCCGTCTTACCTTCTACATCAAGAAGTTAAAACATTCTGGTATAACCCAACCATTACTACTAAAATTCGTTTATTCTCGCATTCTGCCTATTATTCTCTATTGTTCCCCCTTAGTTTTTCCCGGGCTACTGAAGAAAGACTACACCTTATTACGCAGGATGTTAGAGGTTGTCAGCAAGGTAAGCAACGTGCCACTTAACCAGCTTGTTAATATTCTGGTTGACAGGCACATAGATTCATGTGAAAAATGGGCTAAATCCATTTTATCTAACTCACACTACCCTCTTCACTCACAACTCCCCCCTTGCATCTCATCAGGTAAGACCAGCAGCCTATATAGAAAACTATATGCTCGCACCAGCAAGTACAAAAACTCAACTATATCCTACTTAGCTCGTGTTCTGTGCGATAAAGAAAGCATTAGACGTGACACCTATAATTCATTAAATAGTCAGTAGAACAACTGGACCTCGTCTTTCCAACTCATATCATTTATAGGTGCAACATTTTCTTTCTTTCTTTTCCTTTTCTCTCTTTCTTTCTCTTTTTCCGTTATGTGCTGCTTTGTTTCTTTCCCTCGCTTACACCAGTAAATATGATAGCACCTACTTTTCTTACACCTTCAAACACTGTTCAGCTTTGGCTTTGCTACCAACATGCCAATATGTTGTTGTCATAATGAACTGAGATTTCCTTAATCTATGTAGAATTCTATTTATTATGTACTAACTGGATTCAATACTGTAGTAAAAATGCTGAGTATTCCATTCTGTATCACAAGTACTGTTTTGGAATAAAGCAAATTATAATAACAATAATCATAATGATAATTACTATAGAAAATTGTTCAACTTACTGTATACGAGAATGTTAGTTGTGTATACGGTTTCAGTGGAGTTAAATCACCATTGATTAAATTGACAAAAACAATTTGATTCTCATTATAACCAATTTCTAATTCTTTATGCGTCCAAATATTCGGTTGTCCATCTTTGCCTAATTCACCGACAACACCCCATATTGGTAAATCATCTAAATACATTTGATACCAGTATTGTTGTTCAATAGCTGTACTAAAAGCTAGAAAAATATCCGGTGTAACATTAGTTTGACACACTGTTGACTTTGGTCTATTCACTAAACATCGGAGGAGGGGTGAGGGGAGGGGGTAAGGAAAACTATAACCTACCTTTGAAACGTATATCTACTCCACTGTATTGAAGTTCTGTTCCTACTAACGCTTCACCTAAAGTCTCATGAGCATGTTCAATTGATGTTTTAGGTCCACGACAAAATGGTAAAGAATAATAGCCATAAGTTTCTTGACGATTATGATATGGACCAATGGTATTCATCCATAGAACCACTTCTTCGGCAACATCATACTGGAAAAAAATGTAAAATCATATTTGTACAATGTTGAGTTGTATTAATCATCAGCAAAATGCAGTATGTTTTATACCGTCATTTATCTATCTATCTATCATAGATAATAACAGAAGAAAAGCCGAAAGTAAAATGAATCGGACTAGTGGAGATGACTATTCTCCCCTGGTGAGATGACAACTCTAGTTATACAGCTGTTCAAATCTGGTTAGTCTTATATGAATAAGTTATTCTGAATTTAAGTAAAGACTTTACTACGGAGAAATGAAAGTTGGAGGGCAAGAAGTGTACTGTGCTGTATTTATGATCTGTCTTTTTGAAGCTTACTTTCCAGTAACAGAATGATAATACCAGTTGAAAAGTAGTTATACAAAAACAGTTTGTTAAGATTACAAGTCGACAAGGTTATACAGTGACACTACATACTAAGCGGAGGTAACAGTTTTGATCCGTTGATGGATAATAGTTGATACGCTATGATGCAATCCAGTGTTATTCAGCCATCTAACAAAGTCACTAGCTAAACTCAAGAAGTCATCATTTAGATATCGATCAAATGAGTCGTGTTATGTGGAGGAGTTCGCTTTTTCCTTCTTCATGGATGTGAGAAACTGACATTGCAAATGGAAGATATGAAAAAGCTAACTATCTTTGATCACAGATGTTTGCGTTCTGTTTGTCATGTTAACGCGTACGATATGGTGAGTAATACGGAGGTTAGACGAAGTGTCAAGTAACGAAGAGAAGCCAACGGATGAGCTTGTGAAATGACATAGATTGAGATGGCTAGGACATGTATTACGCATGACGACCCACCACCTTCCACGTCAAGAAATGTTAAATGACCTGGAATTAGGTAGGAGAAGAGCTAGTGGTGATCAAACGAAAACCAGGTATGAATCCATGAAGTCTACAACAGTTGGTTTGAGCAATGTAGGGAGGTGACTGCTGCCTGGTTGGAGTCCTCGAAATGCTAAGAAACAATAGCTAGCAGCTGTCGGTCATATGTTTCAAAGTTGTTTTCAATAGCTCAGATGCAATTAATCTTTGTGACTTCCTATATCTGTTAAAGTTTGATGTTTTTGCATGTTATCATTCTTTATTCCGTATATTTCTGCTTGTTATAGTTCTTTGAATATCTTTTTCTGTGCCTTTGTGTGCTATATGGAGAATGGCAACGAACTGACTCACTTCTCCGCAAAGTTCCATGTTGAAACTAAGTTAGCCAGTCAGTTAAAAATTCGAACATGAGCTATTTCTAGGACAAACAATTCCGCCACCAGTTATGTGCAGCATGCAATCCTGACATAGTCTATAATTATATTACCATTCTGAGATGCATTAACTCCTTTTCTCTTATTGTCTACAGTTTTCTGTTAGATTGAAGCGCATGAAAATTTCGTAATATGCAAGTGCTCTGAAATTATACTTCTACACGATTTTTCCAGTGTTTTTGGATCTTAAAGATATCTCAGAGCCTCACCTTTTCCCTTTTTGCCCAAATAAACCCTCCCACCTAAATAAGTTTAAGTGAAAATAAACTTTTGAACGTGCTGATAGTCATACTCAATTAGTTGGAACTCAGGTGGAAAAAATTCCCTATGTTCCAGGCTATCTGTCACATTGTGTGGGAGCTTATGATACGACCTAGTTGCTTAGGTTGATGTAGGAAGAGAAATTTCAGTTCGAAACCTAGTTAATGCAAATTATATTTTCGAACCAGCAAGTGATACATGTGAGCTGCGAACCAACAGTTCACATTGACTTGCCTATATATGAGATGTTAGCATAGATAATGCTACTGAACTGTCAAGTATATTAAATCTTTTAATTCCCGACAGACAGCTGCTACCTTGACGTGATGGTTGGGCTTGCACATCGCAATGCGCCAACAAGCTACACTGGCTGGAACTATTGTTCCTGCAGGTCCTACCATGCCAGGAAGATTGTTAGGATAGAGATTAGACAAAAAGCAGTTACTGGCTTAGTGTAGGAATTTTATTTACACTATGCTAGGAGTCTGTGGGCGAAGTCGTACTGCTTCGGAACAGAGATGTAACAGCAGTGAGGTGTTTCCCTCAGATGACCAGTATGCCAGCCAGCTATGTTGTCTGCTAGAGAGAAGGGGTTAGAAAAGGACGACCAAAAAAACTGCACATCCCGACTTACCCTACGGTGGTCGGTAACCGGCGGTAAGTTTACTAATACGGAACCAAACCAAGAAACCAGTTAATACAGGCCATGTGTGACCGGCCCTAAGCAGTTGTGCCCTGGACTCTGAGATCACGCAACACTAACTCTCTTTGATATAAGTGTAAAACTTGGGCATTGTGGTAGATTATAACTCCATTATGGATAAGATTTTATTTTGATAAAACACACGGTGTTATACAGTAATATTAACTGATGACCACGTTTCGAGCACAAACTGTTGCTCATAACCATATCATACCTTGATATATATACATATATAGTGCAGTGCTGTTTTAAGCATGCCAATTAGAACATGGCATGATATTTGTAGGGTTACAATGGTCAATCTGCATCAAGATTAAAACTCGAAATATGCAATTAACAAAAACGTCAAATACCTAGAATTATTTACAATAGAAAACCCAACACCCCTAGTCAGTTACTCAGAGTAGATTTAAGTGTTTCTGGACTCTTCAAATCATTTCCATGTAATCTCAACTATATAACTTACAACTGTATAAGATTGACAATATGCGTATTGTTTCACCTGACAAATCAGCACCATACACCACACGCTAGTAATTCAAGAGGAATGTTATCATTTCACACAATAAAAATGCTGTCATAAACGTTTACGAGTCATTTTTACTCATATGAAGTGACGACGAATAATAAATAGCTTTTCACAAAAACCCCCCTTCACACCACACGATACATGAAGTAAAAACTACTGGTCTCAGCACCAGATAAAATGGAGAATTAGACTTGTTGAACGACTATTATTGAGGGAATTGAAGGCATGAGACTTCCATAATATTAACATTTATTAATGCATTCCAAGGACAACTAAGTTATAGCAGCCACCTTGGCAAATGACAGCTACTGACGCGAACGACCAAATAGCTTCATGACGCTAAACGATTCCACCAATTCTGCTGACGTGTCAGATAGAGTGTACATCCATTTCAAAGAAGGATCCTGGGGGCATTTGTGAATACTTCACAAAATGACGTGATACATAATTAGCTTAATAATTCCATGTACAAAAAGTGATTCAGGCGAACACTAAGAACCCTGGGGAGATCGCCATCCTGGATAACTATTTATCCGTATTTTTGGTTTTCTGTGCGTCGGTGGCATAGCGGTTAGGACGGTCGCCGACCGTGCACACGGTCCGGGGTTCGATCCCCGGCCGACGCACTCCTTTACCTCGCCGAACCAGAAATAATTCTGGTAAAGAGGAGAGGTTGGGCATGAGGCTAGCAACCCCCCATCCTGTAAAATAAACACTGCTACAGAAACTTCAAGCCAACTAGCTTGAAGCCCTATGTTCCACTGGGGAACGTGAAGGGAAAAAAATTTTTTTTTTTGGTTTTCTACACCCAAGCTTATAATAATACTGAATTAAATATCACTAATTCCGAAATAATTCTAACATTGTATAGTGAGTAAATTCTGAATTTGTTCTGTTATGGATTCTTTAATGGCACAGTCTAGAACTCAGTGCAGGTTTTCAGCATGACTGGCACTAATTCAGCACCCTGTTCTTTTCCTAGGCATTTTCAGGAGTAGATTAGAACCCGCTGGGTTTGCTTGTCAGCGTTGTTCCAGCCCTCACAGGACACATTAAGCACGGTCTAGCGTTACTCCAGAAAGAAAAGACTTAAATCAGCACCCAGCTCTCTTTTTCAGCACGACCAGCGTTATTTCAGAAGATAGTGGGTATATAAAATCTTCATTTACCATAAAAAGGCACTGTCGAAGAAAAGGTTAGAATAAGTTTAGAATTGTTGTAAGCTTGGGTACCATTACTAGACAAATAACCCCTTGGTTGCTCGAGGTCACTTGGTCGACTGTTCTCATGGGTTGTTATACTTTGGTTCTGCCAGTCTAACTTCATCCTAGACACCCCTTACGACATGAACGGACTATATATAAATGGTTTGATGCTGTAATATCACGGAGTTCATCAATGATGCCTACGAAGTCGCTTAATATTGAAATGGCAGCATAACAATGTATATGCTGCTAATAACCAAACTATTCAACCACATGGCTGATGACTTCGATAGACTGAACTTACAAAATGATTGTGTTCGTCACATAAAACACTTGCCAGCAAGGCCAACACGAACACAAGCCACTTCATCCTGCTGGCGCCAATTTTTTCAAATGAATTCACTCTGGAGCGTTCAAACGACAGTTCATTCAAATAGACCATAAACCTGTATTCACACTTTGTCTTATCATTTCGAAACGAACTATGTAAAAGGCCGAGTTGGTATTTTGTTACATGTGCTTACGGAATGAACTTCTAGTGGAAAATCCACTTTACTAATTATTTAATCTCTCGACGGATTCCTAAAATTGTTATGATGATTGCTACAGTTTAGACAGTTGGCAGTAAGGTCACTGTAAGTTGACGGCACCTCCAACCTTCCAATGTCTTACTTCTTGGCTATGGGTGACTGCGAGTAAGTTGATTCATCTGCCACAGACACTTGGTGGTAAAAAATGATTCTCTATCTTTTAGTTATTTGTGCATGAATAATGTCGCATAATGAAGTTCGACCAGTGTTCAAACCATTTCTTACAACCACCAGTGAGGGGTAATTCCTCCAATCAGCCTTTGTTGATAGGAGGGAAAGATTCAGGCACCATACAAACGGAATGAAGCAAAAAAGCCTCATCAGGTGCACGCAAGTAAAGTGAGAGTGAATGCAATAGAGTCTGTGCACTGGATGACAAACCAGGCAGAAAGAAATCTAAATTGAACCGAAACCTTGCGTGGTTAGATAACTCGCTAGTTTTCCAGCCGATCTCAAGTCCGGGTAAAGAGGGGGGGGTGGAGTACGGCTAGCGATCCTACCCCACAAAACCACTCAGAATTCTACAGAAACTTCGATGCACGGGAAAAATACTTAAAATCCAAAATTATGTAAAGCAATCTTGTTCTTCGCTTGAATCGGAGAGGCGAAATGACGTGAGCTGGTGAAAACCTTCGGGAGGCCAGTCAACCGATATGCATCCTCTCGATGAAAGCAAAAATAGGAATGGGAACGTGGAATGTCCATACAGTGTACGGGACTGGCCGGAAGGGCCACCTAGGTAGCCAAAGAAATGCGAAGATATGGCGTAGAAATGCTGTGTATCTGTGAGAGCAGATAGAATGGATGTGGATTGTCAGAATTGCCAACTGGAGAGTCAATGATCTACTCTGGTCACCTTTAAGACAACCACGAACACACTGAGGGAGTGACTATAGTGATGTCATCAGTGGCAGCGGAAGCCCTAATGCACTGGGGACCAATTTCCTCATGCAAGATCATGACAGCAAGATTCAAATCAAAAGGAAAGAAAGTCACAGTTATCCAGTGCCACACACCTACAAACGACGTGGAACAAGAGAAGGAGGAAGATTTTTGTTAGCAACTACACACAATAATGGACAGCATTCTAATGTTGGCATCAAAATCCTTATGGATGATGTGAATGCCAGCCGAACTGGAAGCAGATAATTTAGTCAAAGAACTCACCATGGGTCGACAGGCTTAGGTTCGGAGAAACGGATGAGAATGGGGAATTATTGGCAAACTTCTGCGGTTTCAACGATTAGGGGATTGGAGGGAACATGTACAAGCACAAGGATATACACAAAGCAACATGGATTCCGCCTGACGGACACACCACAAGTCAGATGGACTTTATTTCAATGGTGCTCAGGGAAGTAGAGACGCAGCCAGCCTGTTGGACACGAAGTCGAGAAGAGTCAGCAGATGTTGGCCCACTCAGACCATCATCTAATTCAAGGGACCTTCGAGGTGAAGCTGAAATCCCTGGAAACAAATGAAGACAGGCCACTGTAATTGAAGTTCAACATTCAGAGAGTGAAGGACAAAACTACAAGGGATGCCTTCCATAAAGATATCAGAGCATATTCGGACACACTACGTGGCACCACCGGGGAAACCTGTGTGGAAAAACATTGGAACTCTCTGAAGGTTGATGATGTTCAAGGAAACGTGTGCAAATGTTCTAAAAACAGAGAAGGGACAAGATAAATAATGACTCTTAATGCATACCTGGAAGCTAATCGAGGAGAGGAGGATGGTGAAAGAGAAGATGACTCAACGCAGAGATGGACTACAGCAGGAAAAGCTGAGTTCAGTGTATGGGTGGAGGGGAGTGCTAGGAAAAATAAAAGATGATTCTATGACACACTGCAGGCAAAGTCGGTGCTGTACGCATCATCATCATCATACTACAGCAAAGCATAGAATAGCAGTCAGATTTCTACCTCAACTCCATAGACTTCGCAAAGGCCTTCGACAGGCAGCGTTGGCGAAGAAGTAATTTGGAAACTGCCTCAACACTACGGCTTACCTCAAGTCTTTATCAACCTCATTCAACAGCTGGCTGCATGACAATGCCTGCCACGTGTCAGTCGGGTGTTCCACAACAGAAAACTCAGTGAAGCCTCGCTTTGAAGTGAATACAGAATGGAATAAGACAAGGCTGCCTGCCTATTATCACCAACGATGATATTCCTAATGTGATGATTTGACTAGATTGTGCGTCAGAGTTTGAGTGAGGATTGACTGAGAAGACAGGAATACGTCGGACTGACCTATAAGAGAACTGTAGAAGATCTGGATTTCGCGAGTGGATGTTTTATGATTAGTGTCACACACAAACCCAAGGACTTGCCAGCAGCCAGAAACCAACAAACTGGCTGTGCAGTGCAGTGAACACAACACCGTCTCCAGGCGAACATGGAGAAGGTGGAAACGGAGGTGATGAAGATAACCAACCAACCAATAACAACAACCAGCACCAATCACCATCAGCGGGAGAGATTTGACAGAGGTTAATTCCTGGCTTCACTTATCTGGCTAGGAAGCCAGCACAGTTTCAACTACAGGCAGGCAGTCGGACAGCACGGATGAAGATGTTAAAGTCAGAATCGGAAAGGCGAGAGACGCTTTTACCAACCTGAAACCAGTTTGCAAATCTTTTGCTTCACTCAGGCAGTGAGCGTGAAGGAGAAGATTCGGATTCTATTCAACACGAATGGGAAGTCAGTCAGTTCTTCTATGCACGTCAAAAACTTCCATTGTGAGTCATTAAAAGGATTACCAACAATTTAAAGACTTTGGTCAACAGCTGCCCACTTCTCTGGCTGCCTACTGAAGATCAAATTTCCAGCCAACCAGAAAAAATTAGCGACAAGAAACCTTTTCGATGAACAAACCAACCGAGCGAGAGCAGATTGCTCAACAAATATAAAGGAAGAAATGGGGA